TAAAGCTTAAGAAAATAGAGTTTTCATCTTATAATGTTTCCGACATAACAGTTTTATTTCGCTCATATATGTATATGGCCAAAGTTAACAAATGCATTCATTATTTGCAGTAAAAATAAGTTGCAAACTTGCGTTGCTATTTGCCTTTCCTCCTGTTCTCTGTCCAACAACAATAAATATACTACCGTATTCCCTAACCACGCTCTTGGTCGATCGGTAGCACAAACCATCGGCCTATTCAGCATCGCCGCTGGAATCTCGATTCGGTCTTTTGTCCGGCCGGCCGCTAATAGGTTCTGTCAGCGGCCAGGCGGACCCTTCTTCTCCGCTTGGCCCCATCGGTGATGATTCGTCATAATTTATCGATGTTTAGGCGCCTGTAGGACTCAGCCCCCGCGCCCCCCACGCCTGTGCCCAAATTAAAATCGGCCGCTTTTAAATTGGTTTTTATCGCGTATCGGACCGGCCGTAATTAATAGAAGCCCCGGTATAAGATAGAGATTGAGAGAAGAAAGGAAAAAAAGGTATTAGAAATGTACGGGCGAGAACAAAGATAAGAGAAATAGAATGCATTGATATTGAACTAGAAAGCATGTAAATAAATAAATTTGTATAAAAAGGTCTTTTTAAGAAAGGATAATCCACTTCTGATATTTGTAAACTCAAAAAAATGCATTGTAAAATGCACAATAAATCGCGTTAAAATAATTAACTCCTTCTATGGAATTCGATTTACCTAATTGTTTCATATAAATAATAAAAATTAAAGCATTCGAGATAAAGCGAATACTATTTTATCGGATATCTAATATTTAGTCCTTTTAAAATAATGATATCCCTATATGTTTTAAAAGAACCACATTCAAAATAAACTGGCATTGCCTTAATGCCTTATTATTTTTGAAAAGTGTTGGTTGTCTATTTATTCCAATAAGACGTCCTTATAATAAACTTATTTTAAGCACAAGAGTATTTTATTTCTATAAGAATTGCTAACAGTTTAAATACATTTCTGGTAGGCTTTTGCCACGTGATTAATACTCTCCAATAGAAAGTCCTTCGAGAAACAAACATTGAAAAAAAAAACATTTTTATATAATTTTTGTCGCGCTCAATTATTTTGAATAGTACAATGGTATTTATTGTGTCTGACAGTTGTTGTGACAAAAAGGAGAATTGTATCGTTTATAGGTAATGTGTTGTTTTAGTAGTTGTTTAAAATGATCAAACATTAATATTATTTCAGTAGCATTATGGTAGCCAAAGGTTTTCTTTAAAAGGGATGAAAATGATGCCGGGCCGAGAGCATTGTGATTTTGAATTTAACGCTGGACGAATTCAATACTTCAAATTTGCAAAGTAATATTTCGCTAGATCATGAGAATTCAGATGTAGAGGAATACGAAGTCAAGCTAGCAAAGGACAAAAAGGACATTACAAAAACCATTCGTCACTAGACAAAATTCACCGGGATACCCTTGTATCTATATAATTTTTATATATTGGGAGACATTCAATACAATTGTATTTACCTACTACTTATCACCAAAAAATGAATTCCGAAATAAAGTTATTTGACTAATAAATTTGATATTTATTTCATTTAAAATGTTAGTACTGACCCTATTCGATTAAAATCGGTTCAATAAGCTTTAAACAAAGTGACATATCTATCATTCATTAAGCATTGCACTTCAAAATGTAAAGAGAAAGGCTTGAAATAAAAGGAATGTATTTGAAAAACAAATGGAAAACACTAATAAACAAATATATATTTCTTTAAATAAAATAGGCACCATTTTTATTTTAAATCTGATATACCATTAACAATGACAATTATCATGTATGTTTTATATGTACGAATATATGCATAAAATCAATAGATGCCTTATTAATTCAATTATGACCATTAATGAGGCCAAAATATGTTTGATTTTATTGGATTCATTAGCATTATTTTTAATTTTACAACGTTTTTTTCTCTAAGTGCAGTACTTCTCACAAAGGCAAAATAATATCTGTCCATTTCTCTAATGAGTCAGGGAAGAATATCGTAAGACGACATCCAAAAAATGACAGAAAATATATACCTACGGGACCTAAACAACTTGATATGGGACTTAAGAATCCATGACAACAAAGCATCAAAGAATTATTTAAGATCATCTGCAGATGATGTATGCATGGTGTACGATTTAAAACTAGATATCTAAATCTATTTCTCTGATTTTGAAAGAAAAAAAATAATTATACAGTATGTCCCCGGATTGTCTTTACAAGAGGAAAAACTTTTTTATTATTGACATTTTGAGAAAAATGCATTCTTCATTAAAATTTTTGCTTGTCCTAAAATGGTGATCCGGTTTATAATTGTGTAAGAAATTTTTCCATACCGTTTTAGAGAAAATTAAGAAAAACAAGTCTTAAAACTCAAAACGCATTTCTATGATAATATAATTGCATGCGTTTTCCTTCTTTCATAGATTTTTATTAGTAGAATTTTAGTTTAACATCTTTCTTGCTGTTTTAAATTGTTAAAGAAGCACAAAATTTATTTAGTTCAATGCTACAGAAAGGGTGATAATAGTTATCGGCAAACGTGATACCTTAACAACGGAAAAAATATGACGTTCATCAAAATTAATAATAACCATCTATCAAAGAATGAAACCGAAATTCTATTACCATAGAAACGCCTTCTAATTTTTAGGACTTCAGAAAAAATTCAACCATATATTCATGTTATTTTTTAGTTTCCTCTCAAACGGTATGGAAATTAGCAAAAGTTTAAACGGGATTAATCATTTTAGAACAGGCAATTTTTTTACGGAATTCAATTTTCCCAAAATAAGAATAATAAGAAAGTTTTTTTTCCTCTTGTAAAGATAATCCGGGGACATCCTGTAGGTATCGAAATGGTAACTAGTAGTTATTATAAATACATACATATAGGGTTCTCATGGAAATCCACAAGGAAACAGTACAAACGAATTTGAAGCAGTTCTAAAACTCTGGTCACTTATAAATTAGATATTTCAGTTAATATAGGTTATATTACTATTTTATTTGTCTCTTTAACTTTTCATCTTTGGATAACTACTTACAATATGATTTTTAATTAATGTTCAGTGAGATGGAAATAATTCATTTTTTGGTTATTTTTTACATGGAGACCAAGTTCCATTTACATCAGGTACCTGTAATATAGATTATGTTGAGATATTTAAATTAAAAGTGTAGTTAAATACAGTATGTACCCGAATTGTCTTTACATCAAGAGGAAAAACTTTATTATTATTGGCATGTTGATAAGGTGACCAACTATTTTTTGTTCAAAAAGAGTACATTTTGCAAGTATTTCATAGGTGAAAAAAAGAAGAAAAAACGATAAAAACTTTATTTTTTTTTAAACATATTTTTCTTCGGAGTGGATTTTTTTTGCTAAATGAGGATGTTTGTCTAATAATGTAGCCACATCCGAACAACTTTCATTTGACATATTAAATTTGACTGTTAAGACGGCAGATAATGTTTTTACAGAAAGTTGCGACTTCTCACTGCTCCAATAATCATTCCACAGTGAAAATACCCTTTCAACAGCAGCATTAGTGCCTGGACAACATAAGGAAATTTCTATTAAAACTTTTAAATTTTCATGTGGGATAATATTATACCTACGTTCTATTCTAAAATGCTGAAAGATTTCTACCCATCTTTTGTCAAGTTCTATTTTCACATCGTTCCATTTCTTCAATTTTTCTTCACTTAAATATAAATTTACTCTTCGAATTTCATCAAAGAGAAAATTGTCTTTAATAACTTTTACTTCCTTCATTACAAATTCGACTACCGAAGAAACTTCTTTCCATTCAATTTTACTATTTAGAAGGATCCATTTGAAACAATTTAATGCTCTAAAGTTCACTATCCATTCTTCGATATATTCATAGCAAATTTTATAAAAAATTTTAACTTCTTTCAATACAAATGAGTATAAAATTATACAAATGACTACTTTCAGAGTACAGGATTTGAAAAGAGTGCGGTTTGCGAAAAAAGAGTACAAAACTCGCTTGTTCTAAAACGGTTAATCCCGTTTATACTTTTCCAAATTTCCATACTGTTTTAGAGAAAATTAAGAAAAACATGAAAATATTGTATATCGAAGTCCTAAAAATTAAAACGCGTTTCTATGGTAATAAACTTCGTTTTCATTCTTTGATAGATTTTTATTCATAATTTTAATTAACGTCATGTTTTTGTTGTTTTAAAATGTTAAAGAAGCACAAAATTTATTTAGTTCAATGCTGCGGAAAGGGTGATGATAGTTAGCGGAAAATATGATAGGTACTTTGACTTTTAACAACAGCAAAAAAATATGACATTAATCAAAATTAATAATAACCATCTATCAAAGAATGAACTCGAATACCATATATAGAAACGCCTTTTGATTTTTAGGACTTCAACCATATATTTTCATGTTTTTCTTAATTTTCTCTAAAACGGTATGGAAATTTGCAAAAGTATAAACGGGATTAACCATGTATTTTTCTCAAAATGTCAATATTTAAAAAATGTTCCTATTGTAAAGACAATCCGGGAAAAATGCCTGGAATTAATCGACTACAAAGCTTGTTAGATATTTTGAATAGGAAACTAATCTTTCCAATTGGAAAACGTATAATATACGATATTTGTATTGGAACCCTTACAAACGCCGCATCCCTTCGTTTATCTGCGAAGCATTACAGCGGGAACGAAAGAATCCCTTTCAATAAGCGGGCCACGCGCCCTTAGGGCATCGATCCGAGGTCCCCCCGACTTAATAAACCGCGCGCCTTATCGCGAGGCCACTCCAGCTGGCTCGCAATCGGCATTCCAGAGTTATTCCCGCCGCCACATTAATAACAAATTCGAAGGGATATGGGTCACTATGGTCCGCTCGACATTATGATTTATAATTAATGTTCTACAACCCAACATACGCAAACACGTACCTGGCTGTAGTGCAGTCCTTGTACAGGGTGTCGAAGTCCTTGCAGGAAAGCAACTTGCAGCGGTTGACACCCGGCTGGATGGCGCCCAGTCCTCTCAGGATGCGGACCTGTTCCACATTGCAAACTAATGGCACGATGTCCAAGCGTTTCAACTTTGTATAGACCGTGTGCAGACCACCCACCAAATGCTTGAGAAACAGTTCAAATGCCTGGGGTAGACACAGCATAGTGTCCCCGGCGATTATAAAAGCGGCCACCTTTTGCCCGCGATAGTCCACCAATTTGCACTCGTTAGCTGTCGGGTCGGACGTGGAGATGGGCGGCGGTGAATTGTAAGACCGCGGTGGAGCATGGTGTGCCATCAGATCCAGAGGCCCGTGCAGCACACCCAAAGAATTGAGCAGTCCCAGGCCTGGCGGAGGCAGATGTCCCAGAGCCATGCTGCGGGCCAGCGAAGCGCTGGACACCGGCGGCGGACTTAGAGGGTGGGCCATAGACATTGGAGGTCCCAAAGGCGACGCTTGGCGCGGGCTGTGCACGGGCTGGTGGAGGCCTAGGGCTAGGCCGCTGTGATGACTTGAGGGTGGCGAAGGCGACGGCTTGATGGCCACGGCCGGCGAGCCCGAAGACGCGTGGCTGCTGTGATCACTGGCGGAGTCCAGTGCCGGATTGTCCATTTCGCGCGATATCACACCTGAAGCAGCTGGGTCACCCGCGGGCCGAACCAGAGTCCATCCGCAGAAACGTACCGACAATCGGAGAATGGCGATCGCGCGACGACTGTTTGTCTGTGCGGTCGCGAGGCGGGGAGAGAGCGACCGATGCCTGCGCACAAACACAACCCGTACGACCGGCCGGCTACAAACGTAATAAATAAAAACAGTTGGAAAAAGTCCGTCGGTGGCGCGGTCCCTCCTCCTTACCTAGGGCGGGCCGGATTGGCGCGCGACGCTTCGCTCTGCGCTCGCATTGGCTCCCCGCCGCGGACCGTCCGTGGGCACGCCCTCCGTGCTCCAAGGAGTCGCGCTTTTCTTCGCGTAGGGTGGCGGAGAGGAAAACTTGAAATATGAGCTGTGACGTATTGATAAAGAATGTCACCGCGCGCTCCGTACGCAATCGATAGGAGCGGGCGGCGGCGGAGGGCGGCTGCCGCTCGGTCCCCCCATTCGCTGGTACGCCGCGCTCTTTTGTTTTTCTTAAATTGCGCCGCCGGCCGGGGCTTTGTCTGCAGGCGTGCGGGTGTTGCTCTATGCGCCCGTCCTCGTCTATTTGTTGCTTTTTTCGGCGGACCAGCTCTGTTTCCTGTGCAGTTATTAATTAAGCTTTATTATTCCGGCCGCCGCCCTTCCCTCTCCCCTTTTCCTACGTCTATCCACCTCGTGCCCTATTCGCGCCACCCCGACATCATAAATACCTGGACTCGAGACATTCTTGCCTGCGGCTGTTCTCGATACGTTTAAATAAATAAATATTCCACTCTATAACTCGTTCATTGTATACCTTACTTAAACTTTCCTTTTAACTCGTAGATATACCGTATGTCTGTATGTCTCCGAGTCTCCGGATTGTCTTTATAGGGAAAACTGTTATAACAAAATAATAAAGCAATTCTTCATAAAAAAAATTGTTTATTTCAAAATAGTTAGTCCCAATAACTGTGTAACCATTGACATAACTACAGGGGTGCCGGCCCCCCCCAGGTACTGCTGGGCACCCCCCAGAGAAATCCTGAATTATGACTCTTGGCTAAGTATTAATTTGTATTTGCTTGTGATGCAGTAAAAATGACGTTTTCTAGTTTTGTTTAGTTAATATTATTTTGTTGTATTCAAAAAAATGTGTTAATTTTTATTTTTTTTAGAAAATTTGTAGGTATTTATAAGTAATCTACGGGTACACGGTTTGATAACCAAGTCCATGAAATTTACTGATAGAGAAATTCATGTAAATGTTTTATTAAAAAATGTGCTTTTAAAATTATTTTCATTTTTGAGCTCAACACCAGGATAAATTGCTAGTTACGCTAATGTGTGTAACTCTTTTGGTCAAGTTTTAATTTGATTTAAAGTATAAATAGTTGTTTTAACTACATATTATGCTATAGGGGAAAACCGCTATGAAACGGACGGGTGTTGAAACGGACATTTGTCTTAAGTCCTATTTGATTAAATAACCGAAACTTTTACGGTTACATTTGGCAACCCCGCGCGCCGCTTCCATTACCACCAAAATTGCGGGTTGAACTGGCTGATCGTGTCTCGGCGGCAAGAATTTTAATATTAGGTGTTAAAAAACTAATTTTCTTTGTGAAAATATCGAACTATGTCACAGGTAAGCTATTGAAATTTTGTCAAATTCAGATTAATAAGTTTAAAACTAAGTTATTATAGTACACAAATGAAGGTTTAGACCGTATAAAATATTTCTCTATTTACACTTTATATTGTCATTTAGTGGTTAAGTGGGTGTTGTCTTGAAATGGACACAAGACGCCGTATTGAAATGGACGTGTCCGTTTCAATACTACATGTCCTTTTCAAGGCTTTGTGACAAGTTTGTTAAGGAATAGTAGATAATTTTTAAACTTTTCATTAAAATTAGTTGTTTATTTTTCAGATCAATATTTCTACACGAAAGAAAAGGTTACGACCAGCCAGTGATGTAATCGAAACCGCCGTAAGAGAAGTTTTTGATAAAAATCAATCTATCCGGTCGGTAGCGGCAGCCCATAACTTTTCCAAACCTTACTTAGCTTCAATTTGTAAAAGAGCTAGAACTCAGAAGGAAGATTATCGTCATCGACCTAACATAGTTAATAAACGTATTTTCTCCCTTGAACAGGAAAAATTATTGGTTGATTATCTGAAAACATCATCAAAGATGTGTTACGGTCTCACAACCGTGCAAGTCAAGGAACTTGCCTACCAGTATGCAAAGGCTCAGGGAATTTTACCGAAACCTTGGAAAGAAAAGAAGATGACATCAAAAGACTGGCTACTTGGTTTTATGAAAAGAAATTCAACATTAAATTTAAGAAAACCCAGAAAACACTTCTCTCTCTAGAGCGACTTCATTCAATCCAACGAATGTCAGTAATTTTTATAGCAATTTGGAGCGAGCTCTGGAAAAACATAAATTTAAGCCCCATATGATTTGGAATTTAGACGAAACCGGCTGTCTCACGGTTACAAATCCTCCAAAAGTTTTAGCAACTAGAGGTTCAAAACAGGTCGGGCAAGTGACTTCAGTCGAAAGAGGTAATTTAGTTACGATGCTTGGATTTATTAATGCCTCTGGAGGAACAATTCCTCCCGTTTTTATATTTCCCAGAGTGCACTTTAAGGAAATTATGCTGAAAGAAGGGCCTAGTGTCGCAAAAGGAATTTCCAATCCAAGTGGTTGAATGACGGAAGAAGGATTTTTGGATGTGAATTACTTCCACCGGAAGAAACTTAATGATAGTGAACAGTCAAGTAAGAAAGTTCCTCTATGCCAATTTATACCAAGAGAAAACAGAGAACCCAACACTCAACCTAACGAAAACAATAACGTAATAAATCAAGATAATTGTGTCTGTTGCAAGAAAGCGTATCAATGTACCAAAGCAGACTAGTTAAAGTGTTTCTTATGTTCTTCTTGGGCACATGAAACATGTGGTATTCAGGGTATTCGAAATTTTTATTGTAATAACTGCTCTTAAGATATAGTTTGTTTAAATTAAAGTTATTTTTGAAGCAATTAATGTCTTTTAACATAAATGTTCTTTTCATAACCACTACTGTCCATTCCAATACATCGATGTTTTGAAATGGACAAAAGAACTTTTTTCAAACTTAGATATTACTCCCAATTACAATATTTCCAAAATAAATTTAGTAATATATTTTAAAAGCATATTGATGAAGCTTTCAACCTATGTAGTTTTTAATTCATTTCATTATCGATTAATAATTAATATAACTCCTTTTAATAATATGTCCACTTCATAGCGGTTTTCCCCTACTTGTAAAATACCGTTTTAGGTTTTTTATTACCTAGCTTTTATTAAAATTTAAAAACTGTTCTTCGTTTTTAGAATATGTAAAATATGCCAAAAACCTTGCAATTTAGTCATATACAGATATACTTCTCTAATTAAACTCACTTTTACTTTTCTCCTAGAATCCGAAAATCAAATAATATATAGAGTGTTCCCTTTCAAAAAAACACAACTTTAATTTGTTAATTTTTTTGGGGGTCACCCTGTAGGTAGATCTCTCTATATTTTTAAAAAAAGCTCTAAATTAACGTTATCTAACATGCTCACAAAATTTAATTTCAATAGAAACTGTCGTTCTTCTTGGTACCTCCGCGTCGTATGAGAGGCGCCACCCTGTATATTATTTTAATATTTTTTTTATTTAAAAATGGCAAGTATTATATTAATTCTGATTAACGTCATATTCTTTGCTGTTAAAGTATCACATTTTACGATAACTATAGATTTAAACTAAATTAATGTTATGCTTTTTTAACATTTTAAAACAACAAAAAATATTACGTTAATTAAAATTCTATGAATAACAATCTATCAAAGAATGTAAAAGAAGTTATATTAGGTACCATAGAAAAAAAAGCGTTGTGATTTTTAGGACTTGGAAAAGTTTCCATATCATATTTTCACGTGTTTCTTAATTTTCTCTAAAACGGTATGGAAATTTAGAAAAGTATAAAGGGGATTAACCATTTTAGAACAAGCAAACATTTTTATGAAGAATGCTTTTTTCTCAAAATGTCAATAATAAAAAAGTTTTTCCTCTTGTAAAGCCAATCCGGGGACATAGGTAGGGGAGCGGGGGGCACGTTGTTACACAGGTCAGAAGTTACACGCCTTTTTTACCGAGATTTTAAACTCTTTGGTGGACATAAGTGCACTCAGTTGTTCTCTTATAACATCGTGCATTACATAAAAATGATCAGTGATCCGTCAAGCGCCAAGCTGCTAAGTTGTGTGCATGTGTCTCGATTTGAACCAGGTAAGTAAACAAATCTTTTACGAAATTTTTGATTCCTGATGTCTATATTTTTTATTTTTTCAAAAATTTTAACTTTTAACGTTCATAATATATCTACCTTTAATTTGCAATGTTGATTTTTTCTACTATCGATATCCATTAATGCTGACTTCAGTTTATATTTAAAAACGTGCCATGGGGTAGGCAGTTACAATTCTTTGGGGTAAGTTGTTACATGTAACAACTTACCCCAAAAAATCACCATGCCTTGTATTGAACTGTTTGTCTTCATATTTAAAAAAAAATTAAATTAATTTTCACAAGAAACAGAACTAATTAGCTTCTTATCTACTCAAAAGAAATATATTTTGGTTTACTACCAAGAGAAGTCCGGAAACTAGCTTACCAATGTGCTGTAATACTCGAATTAACAAATATTCCCCCCAGCTGGCTTATAAATAAAATGGCTGGGCCAGACTGGGTTTAAAAGTTTTATGGATAGAAATCCTTGGTGATTTTGTTTATTTATCTACCGTAACATCGTGACCCAAAGATGTAACAACTAGCCCCAAATCGGGGGTAAGTTGTTACAATCGACGTTTTTGGTTCAACTGTTCATTGTGAAAAAATTAAATAAATTTTAATAACTTTTCAATCATATTTTAATAGCTGACTAGACATACTAACGATAAAAGCAACCAAATGTATAAATTATTTAATAGCTTTTGTCATATTGACAATTATCTAAAAATTGTAACAACGTTCCCCCCGCTCCCCTATACTGCAGATAGGTATACCTATAAGTGAGTATTCAAAAACCATTCCCACCTACAATATTTAAACATACCGCATACCGTAGCCAGTGGTCGGACAGTTTAGGAAAAGCTGAGTTTAAATTGTTGATAAAATTTTCTTTATTGGTAGCACTGAAATTAAATCTTATGAAATAGGTAGATAGTATGTCGTTATTGGGCTTCGCCTTAAATATAACACACATAGTTTTTTCATAAACCTATCAATTAATTATTTTTTTAAGTGATGTGATTAACGATGATTAAGTGAAGTGCTTTTTGTCAGTATAGTCGCACAGTGATTGCAAGTGTCCGGCCGGGTACCGGGTAGTTACCACAAGTCGGACACTTTGTGATTGGCTGATTCTGCACAGTCCCGTATTTAATATTATGTATAATTTTAAAGCAAATTTAATCTTGAACATTATATACCGTTTTTTGTTGTATGTTATCTTTATGAAAAAATCTTCTTTAAACGATACTCCTCCCATAGTACAAATATAACAGAAAAAGGCCTAAATATTCCCAAACGACAAACCTTTATCGGATCCCTCACCTATCCCATCCTAACCCTGTACGGCTTTGTTTCTAGGTCAGTGAAACTGGCCGTGGCGGCGGCAGCTCCCTGCTCGCCCTAAATAATCGGCCAGCACTGAGGCTCCCCCGCCAACGGAAAAAGGGCCACACTAAACACCTTTTGGATGTTAATACGGTAATCCCTTTCATGCTTTTCAAAAAAATATTTTAATCGAGAGATGTCACTGTAAAACAATGATAGGCATGCAATATTCAATGATTCGTGATATAATGAAACTGAACAAAATTTTCACTGAACCAAAAGTCGACATAAATATAATGAAAAAGTTCATTAATATAATGAATTAAACCATTAATTTTGAGCCGATGAACGATTTCATTGGCACAATGAAAAGTAATTCATTAACTCTATAAACTTTAAGTTCATTAAATCAATGAACAGTGTTCATTAATTTGAAGGACACATTCATTGGTACAATGAACAGATTTCATTAATACAATGAAATAATTTCATTGTATTAATGAACCGTTATCATTAATACAATGAAATAATTTCATAACCTATTTAGTTATACATTTAAAAGTCGACACTATTAGTAACTCTTGTTACACCGTATAATCGATGATGAAGATCGCTGTCATTGATATGAAACGTCATTGATAGTCATTTCCCAGCCAACTACCTGATATAATTCTACTATAAATAGATTTCCATTTGAACAAGCCCTTAGCTACAAAGGTAACAAAATTACTAATAGTGCCGACTTATATACTTACGAGCACAGTAAATTTTTCCATTAGGGATTATTAATAAAAAACAAGTGCAATAAACTAATAATAATTTATTAAACTCGATATATACATAATAATACAAATTAAAAATTAAAAAAATCTAATCGACGAAGAGAATAGTAATGTTATTATTAATTTTAGGGTAAATTATAATAAGAAAATTAATTTACCAGTCGATATCCTGAGGGATTTCTACAAAAAGACCATTTCTTCATTATATTAGCTGTAGGTATCCTTAGACTTGATAACGTCTAGACGAATTTGCAACAGGTTTTCCAAGTCGCATCAAGTGGGTCCGATGTTAAATTGTCGAATTTGAGGGCTTGAAGGCAGGTTTCTACATCTTCTTCCGCTTCTAAAAGACGTATATCAAAATAATTAAAATTCCAAATATTAAAAGAACATTCGAATTTACCATAATCAGTTCGATGCCTCGACTTGTTACTATGTTTTTCTTCTTTTTGTTTTTTATCTTCTGAAACATATTTGGAAAACGCTGTTTTAATGAATACCCACACCAGAGATCTCACACAGCGGCATTTGATTTGACAACACAACAAATTAACTACAATACGATAGGACTTTTATTTAAAACATTTAAAATATTGAAGAGAACACTTACCGCTCTAATAAAACTAAAGCCTCACTGAATAACTCAACCACACAGAAGTTATTAAAGTACCAAAGTAACCGATCAACATGGCGGACATTTAAGCCCTAATATTTTATTCATGATATTAATAACCGCGTACATTAATATAATGTAGTGTGTTCGTTGTATTAATAACATTGTTCATTGTCACAATGATTTAGTACATTAATATAATGAATATGTGTTTATAAGTGTTGTAAGTGAATAAAGTTTCAGCACTAAAATAAAGAACGCGTTTATTGGGACAATGAACGCGTTCATTATAATAATGAAAATCTTACATTAATTTAATAACCAGATTTTCATTATATTGATAAAATTAGATTCATAGTATTAATAAATCGGACATCGATCTATGATTAACAAATCATTATATTAATGAAAAAAATCATTGTCCCAATGAAACAACAGTTAATAATCAATGTTCATTAATATTATGAACAATATTTTTTTCAGTGATTGAACTGAAATTGGAACCACTATCGATCATACCATGTTTTCTTTGTATCATCAAGTAATCTTATGTTTATAAATGTTTTTTTTTTAATTCTTTTCTACGCTTTAAAACGTTTACTATCGCTTTTAATATTTAGAAGGTTATATGTCGTTATTTTCTATAATTTTTAATAAATATACTAAAGAAGTAAATTGTAATTTTAAGATATGTGGATTAGCTTGAATATTGAGGTGATCCAATATTCTTAAAAGTGTTATTTGTTCTAACTTCCACCAACATTCTTCCTCTCCACACTCGTCCTCTATACAGTAGAATAACTTTTACTGGCGACCTTTAGTAAATGTTACTTTCACT